ACACACACACACACACACACACACACACACACACACACACACACACAGGGACCCATATACACTTGCATGCATTGTGGATTTTGAGTTTAAACACTTTTTTGAGGGTAAATAATTTGGCTTCTACTGATTTAAATCACAGTTGTTTCCATCAGGCTTACAGAAACTCTTTTATTGCGTTCCTTAAAATAAAATAAAATATGATTATAAATATTCAAATATATTTTATTTTATGTTACCTCATGTGGGGGATTAAGGTGCAAAGAGTTAAAATAAAAAGTACCAGTCTCAAAAAAATAAATATAGACCAAATGTAGTCGTAATTATCACTTGAGTGAATATTTGATGTGATCTGTATTTTGTTAGTCTACTTTGACTTCCTCACTGAATTTAGGATGGAAGATACAAAAGTATAGTATCTGCAAACAATAAACTTCGGATCTCTATTTACTCAAGTGTTCACTTCAAAATGCTGAGGGGAGGACTTGTTCCTCAAACAAGACACAAGTGTGTGCCTGAAACGACTACAAAACACACACACACGCGCAAGATCTCTGGTTCTGCTGACAATGGGTTACGATGACAGAGGGTTATGAGTGACTCTGACACACTGCAGACCCCCTCCCTGCTGTACCCCTGAGAGCAACACAGGCGTCTTTGTACTCGCTCCACCATCAGTGACTATCCATCACAGACTAACCTGACAGCCCACCGCAGCCCTGCGCCAAGACTCGACTCTGCACTCTGCCTCAACCCCAAACCCGAGCCCAAAGCCCGGGAATAGTCCACGAGCCACCAGCCAGTCATGTCAGACCGCTGCCGGGCCTCCCAAAGGGCTGTTGTGTCTGCAACGACAAGTTATTTCATTGAAAGGGATACTTTCACTCACCGAAGATTATTTTTGTTTTAATTGTAAATATAACTTCATTGTTAATATCCTAAAATGTGAGAATAAAGAATAAGTAAAATACTGGAATAGGTATACATAAGAACAAAATGGTATAACAATAGTTAGAATTTAAGAAGAGAATAATTAAAAGAGAAATGTAGTGACTTTCTTGCGAATGGCTTAATCCCTCAAACCAGGCACCTGTAACATGTATGTTGTATATTTGTCTTGCTTGTGAGCATTTTTTTGCGTGTTTTCACATATATTTCCTGCGTACTTGCCTTTAATAAAGCTAAATAAGAGTCCCATGAAGCCGTGAGAGCTCTCTAAAAGCAGACATTTAAACTTGTAATAACAGGAATAACACAGGTGTGATTAATTACAATGATTACAGCTCTGCCCCATGTAGGTGTGCCAGTAAATGATCCCCCGCTGAGCCAGCATGTGCCATACCATGACCCTGGAACTGACCCATTTATATAAAATGCACCCATAATTAATGTTATTAATTACACCTGCGCCTTTTCTAAATGTCAAATGTCGGCCATAATAAGGTTGATGTGCTGTGAGATAAAACATTCCAAGATACTATTACTCAGTTTGTCTTACAAAGAACTGAAAAGGTGAAAAAACTGAGCTCTGTGCTGTAAACTTTTAAACGGCAGCTTGTAGGAATAACTATGAAGCTCCTACAGATGCTTGATCAGACTAATGATCAGACACATGTTCAAATAAAGAAAGTCACAAATATGTCCTACTCCTATGCCTTTAGACTCAGAGTTCATTTCCTAATTTCACACTTTAATTTAAAATGACATTGCTTTAACCAAAAACTTGCTTTGTTTGCCAAAATGTTCCAGCTACTGTAACAAGAGTTGAGTGATGCCACAGCAATATGCAGTACATGAATACCCGCACTATTTACTATCTGCACTGGTAGTTTTATGAAAAGCTGTAGCTAGCACGCTCTAAAGGCTGGTGCTACAGCTGACCACACGGTCCTCTCAGTTAAGTTCATCTCATTGTCTCTATAAGCATAATGAAAGTTAGAAAAATGTGGTGAAGAAGATAGGAAATGTTGAAAATCAGCTAAATCAGGTTTTTATTTATTTCATCAACTGATTGGAGGTTAAGTGAAACATGACCTTTATAGCGTCGTATTTCTTTTTACTCTCCATTTTAATCATTCGTTATTTCATCCCGTCTCAGTGTCCTTCATATCGAACACGACTTTTATTTTTTAACTGCAATTAATTATCTTTTTGATTGTCTTTGTTTTCTTTGGTGCCACACAGTTGAGTGATGCAAGACAAAAAAACACACCCCCATTTTAAGAATTTTGTCTACTCATTATGAGAAAGATGTTTTTAAGAGTGAATACAAACTTGTTTTAAAGATTGTTTTCAGCATTTTAAAGTCTCTGTTAGAGAGATGGAAGTAAATACAAAGATGTCTCAGACTTGACTCGATGCATCATCGGCAGGACACCAAACGCCAGTCCCTACATATTATATAGTGTGGCCACAAAACAGAGCTCCCTGTCTCCAGAAAACATGTCCTGTCTGTGTATTACTGTGATAAACTTATAGTAGTAATACACGGGAATGTAACACATCTCCCACTATGCCGGTCATTCCAGGCCACTTCTCTGCTGACAGAAGTGTGTGTTTTGGCTGTTTGTTAGCAGAAGACAGTCTGAATTAGCTGGTGAGCTGTTGGGTGAGACATGTCCTGGTAGGATTAACACCTGGTAGCTAGGCTAACACTGCGACTTACTGGAAGAGGTCAGGACAACGAAGAAGGCCATACCTCTGCACGCTCATCTGATTGTTGTTGCTTGATTTCTGAGAGTAGCGGGAGCCACTGTCAACTTGGTTCTCGACTTACTGTACTATACTCTGTCCAGTCCTGCACAGGCCTGTCTGACTCTGAGTCCACCATAGCCCAGAAGGTCACTTGCATCACCCTGTGCAATACTTTCTGAAAGTCAGTAGATATGAATGTGGTTACATAAAACCAAGACCCAACAATGGCATGAGCTTCTATGCCACCTACGCTTTTACATATTTAGGATCGACCTAGTTGATCACTCTGAACTTTCAGTCACAACAGAGTACAAATGTTTATCTGTGACCTAGTTTTGAGTAAACAACAATCTCTGGCCTCATTTCCTTCCCATCCAGAACTAGGAGTCAAACAACTTATTGTCATTGCCTATCATTGGCTCCTCGTAGAAGTGACAGCTGTCCCCAGACTGTCCCTACTGCCCCCTCCTTCACCCCCATGGCAGGGGACTTTATGTATGGTGTCATGGAGGGAGGCGCGAGTCTGGGATTAGCTCATTAAGATGGACATCTTTGATCCAAGGTATAACTACCATTTCCACAGCAACTTGATCATATCCTGGCCTCTTCAGACACACAAGAGTGCACAAACACACACAAGGGTGCACACACATACACACACACACACACACACACACACACACACACACACAGTACGGGTCTTAAAGCCCTAGAGAGCACAGGGCCCAACAGAGATGTGAAGTGTAGATGTGCAGCAACAGCTAAACGTCGTGTCAGGTTTCTGGGGGCTCGTGCTAAATTTAACCCTGTGATCCTGCAGCAGGCAGAGGGGTTTAAATGCCAGCCTACAGTTGCTCCACACCAGTTGTTCTCCACACGTCTTCCACTCATCACAATCTCAGGCCGGGGACAGGCACACGCACGTACACCCTGACACACACGGTCCAGGCGCAGGACCGAACACCACATACAGTTCCAAGGGGAGCAGGAATCTTTGTCCCCTTCAGACCACAGCGTTGTCCAGTATGGAGCTTTTTGAGACCAACCCTTACTTCTTCCCTGATCAGCGATTCTACGAGGGAGGGGACAGCTACTTCCCCTCTCGTCTGCCTGGGGGGTACGACCAATCCACCTACCAGGATAGGAACTCCATGATGGGCTTGTGTGGGAATCTGTCTGGGGGTGTTGGAGGTGGGTTGACAGGAGCAGAGGACAAAGCCTCTCCGTCCAGCATGTCACCTCACTCCGAGCCCCACTGCCCGGGTCAGTGCCTGCCCTGGGCCTGTAAGCTGTGCAAAAGAAAGACGGTTACCATGGACCGCCGGAGAGCGGCCACAATGAGGGAGAAGAGGCGTCTGAAGAAGGTGAACGAGGCCTTTGAAGCTCTGAAGAGGAGCACCCTGATGAACCCAAACCAGAGGCTGCCCAAGGTTGAGATCTTGCGGAGTGCCATCCAGTATATCGAAAGGCTGCAGGCCCTGGTGTCTTCCCTCAACCAGCAGGACACTGAGACGGGACAGCAGGGACTGCACTACCGACCCAGCCCGGCCCAACCCAGAGTGAGTAGGACAGAGGAGGGATGATTAGAAGCAGAAGGTCACATATTCATGACTGAGACGACAGCCAAAAGAACAAACAAGGAAAAAACATAAAGAGGTAGAAGATGTTTTGACAAAGATTAAATGAAAGTAAAGGAAGAGATAGAAGACAAGGCAAAATTTGGAAAATTTGTCAAAAGGTAAAATGTTCTTGACAATGTGTGACTTTGATGAACTGATACACACTGAAGCATGCTTCACAATTGTCAGTGTGGCTAAGTTTTAAGGTTTGGGAGGGGAATGGCTGGTGTGGACCGAACAGATACACTTTCTGTTATTGTCTTGCAGTTATTTAAAGAGGTTTTTCAGATTATAATCCAGTGTTCAGTTGTAATGTGTCAGACTACACGAAGCTTTCCCGTCTGTTTACAGATTGAAAAGTCTTGCTTCTCTGGTTTAGATGCTGTTAATCATGTTCATTTGCCTCTGAGGACTGTTACAGGATGCATTAGTGGTGGTGGTGGTCTGTGTGTGTGTGTGTGTGTGCCGTGACTGACAGCAACTTCTGCGTGTGCATCTCCATGGTAACAGGTGTCGTCAAGCGAGCCCAGTTCAGGCAGCACCTGCTGCAGTAGCCCAGAGTGGAGCAGCACTCCAGAGCAGTGCACACAGAGCTACAGCAGCGAGGGTGAGTACACTTCACACACTGTCTCATTAGACAGCACAAGCAGATCTGTGCACCCCTCACTCAATCAATGTGTGACTTGGTCTCTTTTTCAGATCTCCTGAGTGCCGCCGACTCTCCCGAGCAGGGGAACATGCGTGCCCTGACCTCCATCGTGGACAGCATCACTGCTGCAGGCGGACCTGTGGCCTTTCCTGTGGACATTTCCAAATAGGGCCTCCAAACAGACAAAAAAACCGAAAATGACAATTGACAAAGCAGGCTGATAACCGGTCCAATTTAATTTATTTTTCAGCTCTACTGATCTGAGTGTCTTATGCTAAATTTTTTAAATAGTATTTGAATTGTAACTCTGCTGATCAATGGGTCTGCTAGCCAAACTGAATTACTCCTGTTCCCAATGAGGCCTTATTCCCTTTATTTCCTGCCTTATCCTCGGTCCAGACCTGTCTGTCAGAGCCACTGGAGCTTCGTCTAACTAGAGATTCAAGGACTTTACTGCATGAACCCAACACTTAGTTACTAGAGTGGATCTCTGTTAGGCTTGCCTTCAGTCTGATTGAGACACAGAGGAAGAATGAAGCCTGGTTTTCTTCTTACTTAATTTAAGTTTTCCACTTTTCGAAACCTTTCCCTGATCCCTCGATCTTTGTGTGTGTTCACTTGTGGGGCCAATATGTACCATGGCAGTTTTGACCAAGATCTGCTTAATTTAAACTGGTTATGAATGCTAGTGATGTAAATACGTTCCCTTTTTCTACAGAGTGGTTTTGCCATTTTATTTTTTATTTTTTGCTAACTTATTTTTGACTTTTATAACTAAGATTGTTGTGTATTTGTAGATGTTCTAAAAAGTGATATTTTCTGTCCAAATCTTTCAATAAAGACCATTTTCAATACATTGTTTGTCACTGCCCTTAATGAGATACTTTGACTGCGATAACATAAAAAAGGAACACAACACACAACATCTTTAAAAAACAGCTTTACTTATGTCTATATAGTGTCATAAATACTGTTCACTTTTTTTAAATAGCCAAATAATAAAATCTTGATTTGTCAGCATTGTTTCACACCTGGAATAAAGACACAGTACTCATAGCTGCCACATAGCACATTACACCTTTTAGACACCTTGGAAAAACTCTAAAATAAAAAAAAAACACCCATCCAGCACTTCACTGGTTCATATGCTGTGTTCTCATTGGATGAGGAGTTGGTCAGCCAAGAGTACTGACTGCTCACTGGCACGTCTCCATGGCAAATAAATAGGAGGTGACGGGACGGGATTAGAAGAGTCCATCACATTGAGCAGTTTTCGTGTTTATCATCGGCTGATGTTGAGCAGCAGTTTACAGTTTGATTTGAGAGAATGTAAGGATTCAACAGAGAGGAGCTACAGTGTTCACACTACCCGTCCACAGAGAAAAGTCATGGTCACACGGCTGGGGTCGGCCTTTCACACACAGATTCTCCACACGTCTTGAGCAGAGAGACTCATTTGCTCACACACACACACACACACACACACACACACACACACACACACACACACACACACACACACACACACACACACACACGCATACTCTTCATATTAAAGGATTCTCTCTATTCTAGGCTACATAGTGTCATACTGAAGGCGAGAGGCGAAAGGAGGAGAGGTAACAGCTACATAGTGTCAAAAGATGAGGAGGAGGAGGGAAAAGGAAAGAACAGGAGAAAAAGAGGCAAAGAGAGAAGTCTGAAATTGGACCCATGAACCTGTGAAGAGTCCTTGTAGAAACACACCCCTTCCTTAGTGAGACCCTCCCACTAACAAGTCACACACTTACGGCATACAACAAAAGACACACAAAGGTCCGACACAGAGAGAAAGAGAAAGAGAGAGAAAGAGAGAGAACAGTCACTATCGAATACAGGGCATTGGGTTTCATACAGCAATGATATTATATTATTTTCCATATATATTTCCAATATATATATATATATATATATATATAATATTTCTATAAAAAACATAAGTCATCCATTTTATGTACAGAGACGATAAATGAGTAATACCTTGCATAACCGGTAGAGGGGCAATGTGCAGTGGGATCTGCCATTTATACAAGTATTCATCATTCCCAAATCCAAATCAACAACGTCTCACCATCCCTATGAATCTTTTTTTTTTACACCGACCGACTTTTGTGTTGCAGAGGTCCTGATGACATTGGAAGATTGGTTTGGACTTGGCCATGTTGACAGATTAGAACCAGACAAGAACCCACAGCTGAGACCAGGGGGAGCAGGAGCACAACACCACAACAACAAGGCTACTGGGAGCACTGGGGGTAAACTGGGAGAGACAGGGATGAGTCTCCTTTACAGCAGCGAGCGCAGCCAATGAGCACTCTCAAAGAGTTCAAAAGATCAGAGTTGGCCTCTGTATTGCACGTGTCCGAAGGAGAGGTGAGAGGTGAACGTTGGGAGGTGAGGCCGGGCAACAAAAAGGGGGGTGGGGGGGGGGGAGACCCCTCCCCAGTGGCACCCGGAACTCCCTCTCCAGATTTGGCATATCACTCTCAAAAGGCCGCAAGCATGTGTCCATATAGGTAATGAGAATGCACTGGAAGAGAGAACAAATAGTGAGGAATGTTAGAAGGGATGTAGGGGAAAGACATGTGCAATACAAGCAGATGGTAGAACAAATAAATATCTTCAAATTAAACCACTCTGCACCTATTGACTTATAGCGGATTTAATGAACCAAAAACTAGGGCTGAGCAATAATTCAGTATTATCGTAAATAGACTTTTAGCAGAACTATATCCTGTACAATCATATTATCATTGTACACAATGCTGCTGTGTAAATGAATGAAGAAGAGAATAGAATACACACTGTTTACTGGCTAAAGGGCTTTAATCTGCCAGATATACACAGGTACAGTAGCCTGGTGCTGTAAAGTTAGTACCACAGTCCTACCTCATGCCACACAGCTGGGCAATGCTGGTTAAAGGTCAGTTCAGCAGTTTCAGCTAGGGATTTGTTAGCTTACCTGTTAGCATTTGCGCTCCCATTAGTAAGCAGAGAGAGAAGTTAGCATGAATAGGTCCGCACGGCCGAGGGATCGAGTCTCGGGGTCGCAGGGGGAGGAGCTTGAGCGGAAGTGACACAGACGGGTTTAGGCGCAGCAGGACAGAGAAGACACAACATGCAGTTAGTCAGACAGGATGAGCAGAGAGCAGCACGTAGAAACACACAGAAAAGCACACAGGCCAGAGGGGTTTGGTTAGTGTTGCGTCACACCTTCAGGCTGAAGCTGTTTCTTGGGCATCAAATTCACACAGGGCGGCATGGACATGGAGGGCATGCGGAAGCCAGCAGGCAGCGTTTCCATGGAGCCCGCCATCATGCCGAGCCCCACCCCTCCCTCGCGTGCCCGAAACCTCTTGCGCCACGACGGAGAGCGTCGAAAAGACTTGTCGTCCCCACTCTGCAGGGACAGGGAGGTGAAGAGCAAGGGTCAGACAATCGACCCCTTTCCCAACATGTATTTGATCAGAGCAGCAGCTTGAGTGGTCACCTCCTCTAGTTGACGGTCGGTCCCCAGGGCTAATATGTTGTTGAACTCCCTCTCCAGAACCTGCCGGGCCTGCAAAAAAAAAAGCACACAACTTCTGTCAGCAGGTGTGAAGCTGTGTGTTAAAAAACCCGGAACAGAAATGAACAAGAGCTGATGGCAAAATGTCAACGAGAGCTCTTAAAATACGTCTAATAAACAGGAGTAATTGGCATTATTTTGTTCACCTGTTAATATGAAGCTGTGGTGCATGTAATCTGTTCTGAAGCCTGCGACTGGGAAATACTTTCAAGTGAAACAACAGAGGCCTTTTGATCAGAGAACGACTGAAACAGAATCTGAGGCAGAAGTAAATGTTGGCAGCATGTGGCCTGCAGTAGAAAGAAGTGCTGACTGCACACAAACTGCAGAGTCACAAAAAAGTAAATCAACCAGTCTCATAAAACAACTGTGACTGTTGGAAGATGGACTGTTTGCAGAAAGGCTAAAAGGCCTGTCATGAGTTTACAGTGCTGGGAAAGTGTTGAATGTGTAGAATATTTTCATGTAAAATAATATGATGTCGTACAAATCTCTGTTTTTTATTTATTTCATAATTCCTTAAGTCTGCCCACAAAATGGACCAAACTTCTCTTAAAAATCGGATCATATTTTTTTGCTATTCACATCAGTTCAATCCTTGCATGCTGAGTGCAAACAGTTGTGTTTTCCTCTTTAACCACCTGTGTGTTCTGCATAGGGATCTGCAGGATGAGCGCGAGGCTGCTGTAGTCGAAGGTCTCGTCCAGAGAGATGAGCGCTCCGTGGATGCCGCTCTCCAGCAGGTTGCCGCTATACTCCCTTAAACCAATGGACAGGACCCAGTGGATCACCTGCTCATTGGTCCACACCAACACATCTAACGTAAAAAAAGAGTGGCTCAGGCTCAAGGTACTGTAGCATTGTGTTATATAGAGTGCCGGCACACGCCATTACTAGCAAATAACAGCAACTTGATTTAGAGTAAGAGAGAGAGAGAGAGCGAGAGAGAGAGAGAGATAAAGAGATAATGTGCAGGTCCACATAGTGTCAACTCGTTGGCACACTCCCTTTGTTCATTTTAAGCACAGCTGTTAGACAGCTTTCCAAGTTGGAACAGGCGGTGTGTGTGCGTGTGTGCGTAAACAGGGCAGGACTCTGATTTGACATGACAGCTGAGTCAAGTTCATGTGCAGAACTCAAGGTCAAAAGGGCGAGGGGGCTGGCTAGATCTAAGTGTGTGTGTGTGTGTGTGTGTGTGTGTTTGGGACCACTCTTGGTATGTGGAGCCTTGGATCATAAGATTGTAGGCTTGCTTCAGCTGGCGTTCTGACAGTCCAATGGGGCAGCTGTTTCAACGCTCAGGCCAAATCAGGCAAAACCACTAGGTGGTACTCTGGCCTGATGAGACTGTGGATGTGTGCTTTCTTGTTAGTGTTTGAACGTGTGTGTATGTGTGTGTTTTTTTTTTTTTTTTTTTTGTCACTGTGTGTGTATCAGGGTGTGTATAAAGTGTACCTTTCATCTCGTGTTGGCTGTCCTCTCTCCGGCGCTCCAGGTCTTTCCTGTCATAATTGAGTCTCTTCAAGGACATAATCCCATACTGCAGACTAGCCCTGGTACACACACACACACACACACACACACACGCACACACACATAGAAATATACACACACACACATACCATCATGACAGAACAAACAAGCTCACACACAAACACAGAAAAGCACATAATCATCAGGCTTCATCATCTCCACTGCTATGTGTCCAGTTATCTGATGAAGGGGGAGGCTGATCAAACAGCAGCTAAGCTGATTGCGCTACAGCTACAGACCTATGGAAGCTGTCCACCATCTTGAGGTGGCTCCTCAGGTCCTTCTTGGTCAGGTGGTCCAGCATGCGTGCGTCCACCAGACACTCCATGAAGTATGAGCGGTACTGAGGCAGGCCCAGGCTGGGCAGCCACTCGTTCCCTATCCACTCATGATTCATATCGCCATACGCCAGAGTCTACATGGAGAGTTGTACATAATGTTAGTAATTTGTGCAACAGAAAAAGAGAGAGAAAGAGAGAGGGGGCTCTTTGTTTCAGAATGATATACTGTATGTGTACATAGAAAGATACATAGACATTTTGTATCACTAAATGAAAATTGTTTTAAAATGATCCTCAAATTGCTTACATGTATATTGAGTAACACAAGTGTTCAGATACACCTGTGCTCTCAGTGCTAAGACAAGCCAAAATATGCACTGTGACAAACATTTTAAAAAAAGTAAATTTTATTCATTCAAGAGCTGACACATGTTCCTGGGGATTTCTGTTTATATTTTAAGATGAATCAGTACTGCTGTAGATCATAACTTAAAATGCCTTCCACACCACAACAGGTGTTTTCAGTCATTCTCTCTTTTTAGCCTAATTATGCTAAGAATTACAAGAAGCTCCAATAGGCCTTTTTCACAGGCGCCACCTTACCATGTCAGAATAGGAAAAATACAGGTGTAATGAATAAAGTTAATGATGGCTGGATTCCATTTTGCTGTTTCGGTTTCAGGGTCAAAATGTCTGCTGTAAAAACGTTATTAAAGTGACGAGGGCATTCATTATATGCCAATCGAGTACAGACCGTACACACTCCTGAAAAGCGCTCTAGTCAGGCAGTGTGGCTGGACCGTGACTATGTTGGTTCTTTAACACAAATAAAACAAACTGCTAAGATATTGGAGGATGGAATGTGTTGCAGGTAAATGCAAACAAAATAGTCAATCATGATTTATCTTGATTTAAGGGTCAGTTCACCCAAATTACCAAAAATACCTTTTTCAACGGAGGTACACAGAATCTAGTGTGTGGTGCCCAATCCTTAACAAAAATGAAAACTCGATTCTATTTTCCTCATAGAACATCTTTTGGTTCCAAATATTCTGTGTCTCCTCTACTCTGTGTTCACTTTCCTAATGACTGCGCACATAGCATTTTATTGACGGTGAATTGGCCGCCCGCTCTTATTCAAATACGACCATGAGTGAATGCATTAGTGAAGAGCATGGGCTCGGAGTGTGCAGACAGATGTTTACTTAGTTAGTTCATTTATTCTGGTCATTTATTCCAAATACAACAATTTGACCATACAGATATGGAACTGGTTAAATAGTACTAAATCATTCTGTCAAAAAAAGATTAAAATCAAAAGTAATATTGTGACTGAAAAAAGGTTGTAACTACCCTTAGTTCTGAACAAAGCATTACCTTAATTCTACCCAAAATAGTAAAACAACAATATACACAATCAAATAAAGAACCACAACATCATAAATTAGAAGCAAATAATCAAAACACAAAATAGATAATACTTGTTAGTTCTTTCTCAATTTTGGTCCAAATAAAGTATAATAAAGAAACACAGATATAATCAAGACGCAGCATCATAAATCACAGATGTAAGCAGATCAGCGACCTCACCTGTGCCCAGCTGCCCTCCTCATTGTCCTGAGTGGCAGCATGGCAGAGACAATATACAAGGTCAGAGAGAAAGGGGACAACTACAGACACACATACGGCACATTCAGAAACACACACACACACACACACACACACACACACACACACACACACACTCTTCTCATATCACATATCTCATATAATCTCTAACACTTATATCATTGACCGAACTTTCACAGGTTAAAACAGTTCAATCCAAACACACATACAAATACCAGCACGAGCACAAAAATGCGTTAGTGTGTGATGTATTTGAAGGGGTCTTCCGGGAGATGACATATGTGTGACACGGTGGGGACAGTGTGAGTGTTGGGTGTGGGGTGGGGTGGGGGGGAGGGGAGCACCCAGATGGTACTGACCGCTTTAGTGGAGGAAGCCAGGTTCTCCATCTCTTCATGAGTCACCCACACATTTCCGGAGGACTGCGCAGAGGACGAAAACACACCCGAACACACACACACACACACGTGCATACAGAAGCACGCATACACGCCCAAAAACGCACCCGGGAATGCATTTTTTCCACACACACCGACCCCCATGCACACACAGCCAATCACACACAGACACACAGAGACAAACATTGTGTTGAGTGATGCCCAGGGAGGGAGTGTATTTCAGGCAGGTAGCTTGTGGCTATATGTGGCTCTATTTGTGTGCCGTTTTCCCACAGAGCCCCATGCAATTGATGGCAGTGGAAAAAGACAAGTCAACCCAGTACTGTGGTCCGAACAGAGGAACAAAAAAAGTCAAAGAGTGAGGACTCATCACCCCAGGGTGCAGAGTGAAGGTTAAGTCTAACAGTGGAGGAGGATTTGAGTGTTTATGTGTAGGGTAATGTGTTCATATTCACATCCTGGATTATTTATTTGCTGTTCATGTATGCACATGTGCGATCATGGAGGTGTATTTGTTGTGTTGTTTTACCGTTCTGGAGGTAAGTGGTGCAGACGGGCTGGTGAGGGACACCATCTCCTGGATGGCCAAGCGGAGTTTGAGTCGGTGCAGAGGGTTGCTGATGCCAATCTCCCTCTGAATCTCTGTGTCGGACAGAGCTGACATGATGGCTCCGCTCTTCACGTTTGCCCGACAGGCTGCCACGTACCACGCTGGCATACCCACCCACAGCTGGTGAGAGTCATCAAGATATTCAACGTCACCATCATTGAAAGGTCAAATAAAAGGGGAGGAGACTGCAGATCAGGCTGTAATCGTCTCTCCAGTGTTTGATATTAATGTATTTAACATTGCTTTAGACGTAGTAGCAGCCTGACATAAAGATCGCTAGATAGAGGGAGGTTTTCTGAAAGGAATTTATGTTTGATTGATACATAAGTAAACTAGGGTAGTACCTCTAGCCACGAGACAACAGTTGGGCCGTCCCAATGGGCAAATGGCAGGCCTCTTTTCCTGGCGTCTTCCAAAAGCTCGTGTCTAACAAGCAAATTAAAAGTGGACAGAGAAAGACAGATTATCAGAGAAAAGGCTTAGTTACCAAATTCAAATAACAGGAACAAGAGATAAAACACAAATTCAGACACAGAAAGTATGCTTTTACTTTTTCTTCATCCTGCGGTCCCTCTCAGCCTGTGTGCCCAGTTTTCCCAGAGTCATAGTGTCACCAATGCCCATTTCAAAGTCTGGAAAACAGCAAAGCAGTGTTGATTTCCATGTCTGTAAATCCCACACAATCTCACACTGTCTTTATCAGTGTTAGAACTGGTATGTAGTCTGCAGTGTACCTGTTAATGCCGGTAGAGGCTGTCCATCTCTGCCTACAGTCTGCTCCAATCGACCCTTCTCCTTCTTCCCAAACAATCGGCCAATAGATGACTTGATGCCTTTCTTCTGCTTGCTGCAAACAGCAAATTATGTTCAGCTAAAATTTTTAAACTCATTATCTCATTGTTGTCAACTACGAATAAGCAAGGTAAACAATTGTTTTTGTGTGTTTGAAGCAAAGAGAAAGATTCAGATCCAATTCCAGCTGCAACACTCTTCAGAACTTGTTGGTGGAAAGTTGAAGTGGACTCGTAAAACAATCTGACATAAGTCTGAACTGATGCTAATTTATCATACTTTGCTACCTCTGTGTGTGTGTGTGTGTGTGTGTGTGTTTACCCTCGGCCGTCCTCTAGACTGCCTGTGAACTGCGCGAAATTGGTTTCTAGCCGTAAACTGCGGGGGGACGAGGGAGGCGATGTTTCACACTTGATAGTAGCTTTGTCCACTTCCACAGGAGACTAGAAGAGTCACAAAAGTAACTCATCTCAGTCACGAAAACCGCAGCCGTGAAAAAAACAGATTTAGTTGTAAGTTTGCAAACTTACTGCTACTTTCCTGCGATGTTTCCTCAAGTCGCTTGGCTAACAAATAAAACAACAAACACGTTACATTTACAGCTTTTTACAATGAGCATACTGCTGTACAAAATATGGAGCGTGTGTGCTCTCTGACCAGAGTCATGATGCCTAGATGGTGGCTGGCGTTGCGTGAGTGGTGTTTAGGTGTGGAGTGGCCACTGGTGGGTGGGGAAGAGGATGATGCCAGAGACTGGGCAGTGGCGGAGGTGGGCAGCGCGCGGGGTCGAAGCGTCACGTTGAGTCCGTCCATGCTGCCGCTGTTCACGCGAGACTCGATCTCGTCAGAGCGGAGGTCTGCTGACTCTCTCTCCACCTGGATCATCCTGCACAGACACATGCAAACATACATAGTTATTTTGGAGCACAGAACATCCCATCAATCAATGATTAACACACACTTTATATTGCTCTAATTAAGAATAAAACACTTATATGGAGTTAACTTTGTTTGAAGTTCTCATTTGTTCTACTAATCTGATGTATTTCTATTTCTTATTTATTCAATGAACCTAGTAAATAATAATTTATTTACTATTTACAATTGCATCAAAAATTTAATAATGCAAGGATCTTGGCAAAAAGTGCATTATTAAAAAAAAGTTTGTAGTACAGACATTTTTAAAAATGTATTTCTTCAAGGGAGTCTGGCTCCTCTGCAGCATAATCACTATCTAGTTTGCATCTCCTCCCCAGGAGCATATTCTGAGGCGTCACAAGAGCACCTTGTTTACTGTAAACTGCATTAAACAGTGTCCTCTTCCAGCGGGAAACAACTGAAGAAGGAAGAGTCTTATCTTCATGTCATCATCTTTCTATCTAATGCCGCTATCAGATGTGCTGCATCCTGTCTGGCCACAGGTCTTCGTGCATTGCATTAACAAGATGAAACAGCAGCACCTTTATGTTGCTGTTGTATCTTTAAAACGTCCCTTTTCTTGTAATTATTGGTTGTATTATCTCGAACACTTTGTTCTCCTTTTATCTGTATCCGGTTTCTCGCTGCTGCACTGACCAAGTTTCCCTATTTGGATCATGAAACTGTCATGTGTTGTAATCTAATGTGCCTGTGCCTTGTCACCTTATCTCTTCATTGATAGCGTCGAGCTGCTCCTGCAGCATGAGAGCGAGAGTCTGAGCGTCAGATTGGCCGCTGGGGGAAAGCAGGGTCGAGCTAACGTCATCATCCAGGTCTGACTCTGCCTCGATGTCGCTGCCGAGGAGGTGGCTGACGCTTCCACGCAGAGACGGGTAGTCCTGTTCAAACACAGCGTACACCTGGACACAACAAACACACCTTAGCTTTAACATCTGTAGACGCAGCAAACATGTTAAATACAACATACATTGATGTACCTGAAGAATGTACTATATGGATTCATTCTGATTACATGTAAAAAAATACCATATGACACAGTATGTGGCCAGTTATTAAGAGAAGAAATGAATGAACTGGGGACTTACATCAGACAGGATGTCCATGGCAGCAGTTGAAAAAGAGACAGAGAGACAGAGAGGTTAGTAGAGAATGGCAAGTTAGGCAGCCAAGCACTGACACTTGTTAGCAAAGCTGACATGAACTTGGATACAAGCACTGGTCAGGAGCTGTATGTGGTTAGAGGAATAGTTGACACATGATGTTGTGATCTGTAAGTTGGCCATCCGGCTCAGTGTTTGTGTGTGTGAGGTCCTTTTGGCCTGATAAAGTCATCGTTAACACCTTGTTCGGGTCGTCTCGTAGCGACATTCTGCCCTTATGTGCCCGCCTGATCACAGTTGTGCTGTAGTGGCCATCTTGGCCCTCCACCACAGAGAAGCGAAGGTCACTGGCGCTGCCCAGGTGCGACCTGAGAGACACGCATAACAGTTTTTCCATCAATAATGCATATAGCACCATGTTAGAGGGTGTGTATATGAGAGGGAATGGGTGGAGGAGGTGTACAGTATGTCTTGTGTTTACCGAGGGTGAGTTCCATCTCCAAACGCCCCACTGCGACGTTTCAAGTGGTCGATCTCATTTCTCAACTTCTCAATCTCTCCAATTAGCCGTTCCTGAGGGAGAGAGGGGCATTATGTGCAATGCATTCAGATTGCTTACTCGAGTGAAAGTAGCAACACTGTTCCTTAAGACGAGAGTGAAAGTCCTGCATTCAAAATTTGACTTGGGGCGATATGGGGCATATAAGTTGGAAGTGAGGAGACGATTGTAGTTTTCAGTGATTAGGTGATCGATTAGAGTCTCACTGACCCTGGTGTGGTGGAATTCTTCAAGCTGTTTCTGGCAGTTCTCGAGGTCCTGAATGAGGGAGTTCTGGACAAAAGAAATCACGAAACCGTGTCAAAACAAATCTGTGTGTCCAAGTATAACCTGTGCTATACTGTTTATTAATTTGTTCTGTGAGGCAATAACAACAGCGGTATGAGCTGCTGCTTAGATGAATGCATGTGTACAGGCCTTGCCTTGTCCTCCAGGGCAGCCATGCGTTCCTTCAAATGGAGCTGCAGTCTTTCATTGGACTCAGTGAGCAGACGATCCACGGTGTCTGACAAGCGCTTGTTGTGCTCCTCATTCATTTTCTCTCTCTGACGAGCCTGATGAGCGGAGAGAGAGAACCAGACGGGTGGGAATGACATCATCACATTTTCTCTTTCGACACAGACTCCATTTGGGTGTATTCATGCAGCTAATCAAGCATCTCTGTGTGGATTAAAGGATGAAGTGTGTATTGAGCCCAAGATCACCAGCTGCCAGATATAGGTCCTCTTGGCCAACAATGGATCTCACAGCCAGAGTGATTTAATTACAGTCATTTACAGGACGATGACAAGGGGTTAAACGCCTTCTCTTAAATGGAAATTGCTGTGCTTAAATATGTATTTTACGGTAATTTCAAGAAAGTGAATTAACACAGACACACACAAACACAAATGTGCTTCCTCAGAGAACTCTTTCAACTAAATATAGTCATGAGATCGCACGGTGAGAGAGAGGAATTAGCCTTGCGTGAATTATTCAGAGTCTAAAGATAGCAGCCAGTCAGGATTGTGTTGCAGCAAGATATGTGGATTTTGTTTCAAATTCATGCAACAATGCACCGGGAAAATGGAGGGCTCCTCATATGTGCGTCTGTCCTGTGTGTTTGTGTTTGTATGTGTATGCATGAGGG